AAATGTCTGATGTGTCGAAGGGAAAATAATTGGCATAGATTGCAAAAGACCCGCGTGACGATCAGATACGAACGTCAACGTACGCCTGCCACCCACGACTTCTTTAAGATTCCGTAAAAACCACTTCCAATTTTGTTGATTTTCAGAGTCAACAATTGCGAAGGCCACTGGAAACAACCCTACAAAAAATAGTGGACCAACCATATTTGAAGTACACACCATGGGAATGCAAAATGTTAGTGCATCTGTAATCCTGCATGCATTACATATATGTATAAAGGATTCATAAAAAGAATTGGATCAGAAATGTTAAATTATTTTTCGATTACAAAATAAGGAAAAAATTTTGATACCTTCTTATCTTTATTGTCGTCCTTCGCAGTAGCAGCTAGCAAATTCCCCTTGAATCTGCCTTTCAAAAACGTCCCATCCAAAAAAAGTACTAACTGACAATGATTGAACCTATCTGTACATACACGGAATGATATTAAATACCGAATGAACCTCCCAGTTTGTTGGTGAAATTCAAGGTTAATGTAACTGTTTCGGTTCTTTTCCATAACGGAATCGCTATACCACATAATTTGGTCGAATGACATAGCGTGATCCCCATACACTTCACCCCTCGCTTTCTCAACTCCTAACCATGCAACCCGGTAACTAATATCCAACCCATAGTCATTTTTCAAATCAAACACAATGTCTGTAGGATGCGTCAGTGGCTGATCACGCACCCAATTTGCAACAACACTTGAAACCAAATCGGACCCCGTCCGCGAGTTCCTCTGTGTTCGTACAATACCTCCATACTTGTGCACACTATCCAACTTCTTAACACATAAAATCCCATTACCTGCCCAACACATCCTATAACTCAAATACGAAGTAAAAAGGATGTAAACAAGATAATGAACAACTACCAACATCCACGGGTACATGTCCGGATCACTGTACAACAAGGGTAAACCCGGGATCGCTATAACGCATGCTGTGGACTCTGCAAACTTACACACTGCTGTAATGCGAACTGAATCATTTTTCACATACTTGAATTGAAACCCGCATTCCACGGCATACTTGCATAATATTTCCCGAAATTCATTAGCACCACCGACAAAACATTGTCCAACATGGGTAATCCCAAATGCTCATTGAGTAGACCAGAACATCTTTGATTTGTTAGGGCAATATGTTAGTAACAAATCCGTCTGATCGTCCATATCGAACGTCCGATTACCAATATTTGATTTTCCGCCTTCATTACAATACGTATCCCCGTAATTACCACCCACCGGAACATCCCGAATCTAAATAAGAACATCAAAATGGTTCATCTCAAATGACTTCGCAAGGCACAACATGTTTCGGATATCGTCATCACTATCAACCTTAAACTTCTTATGCTCGGGGGCAATCCACAACATATACACCGCATCCCGTACCAAGTCGTCGAACTTTCCACAAATAGCATCGACCAGCTATGTGAATGTCATCGCGTGATGCAACCGAACAACAACATTGGTTTGCCCGTAAGTGCACAACAACAACAACGCATCATCCATACCTGTCACGCAACCCATAATCGAACCGTTAGACCGCTAACACATACGACAATGAATGAATAAAAAAATGATATTTGACATTTCACACCAACTGTTCGCTGCTGATGTTGCAAACTGTGAACAAAATCAAACCGTAAAATCCATGAGATAAACAACACACCCACACTTCACCCCCTTAAAAATTACCTTACACATTAAAAAAATTCAAATCCAAATAATAACAACAACATTGGCACTGAAACTAACCAATTAAAAGCAACTGTGCATATTACAAAAATTCAAATCCAAATAACATTAACAACATTAGCACTGAAACTAACAAATTAAAAGCAACTGTGCATATGTGGATGTTATCAGTACCCACAATGAAGCCATGTGAACAACCGAAAAACGTTTAAAAAATGGGGGAAAATAATCCCACAAAAACACCAATCGCAATGATAATGACACGGAAAATAACATCGCAACGCACCACACTGTCAACCACAACATCATGGGCAATGACATATACATATGCAAAACACACGACATCGCGACTCACCTGCTGCAGCACAACGAGGGCGACTGAAAAAATCACCCAAAACTGTGAACCAATGGAACAACCCAATCAACATCCACCACTCCCCTCCCAAAGTCAAACCAAACCCTTGTACACGTTAACATTACCAAATCCCCAGCCAACACATTGAACCCTTTATTTAGGAAAAAAGAATCCCACAAAGGGTATTACTGTAAACTGTAAAAAGCCCAAAATTAACTAAGCAAACATTACCAAATAAAAGGGGACTAAATGGTGCATAAGAAAACTCTTAGGACTAAATGGTTCAACTCTCCACAAAATAGGATTTATGGGTAAATTTTCTTTTCATAAATGAGTTGATATAGGAAAATTGATTCTAATTACCTGCAAAAATTACATTATCAAATTAAGTAGGAATCAAATTTCTAATAAAACCAACTAATTGAATAACATTAACACAAAAAAAAAAAACTTGACTTATCTCAATTCCTAATATACATATATATATATATATATATATTTAAATGTATGATATTTACCAATCTACCTCTACGATTTATAAATTGATAATGAAGTATTGGGAGAAAGGTGGTTACAATTATCAAAATATTTTATGGAAATTCTTTACTTTTTTATGTGATGATTTTATTATTACACCTAATATATATAATCACAAGCATTTAAGGGTGCCAGTTAGCCAACTTGTATCAGGTTAAATTTCTGTAATATAGAAGTTGGGCTCGGGTTGTTTCCAAGCCCTACTTAACTCCCCCCCCCAAAAAAAAAAAAAAAAAAAAAAAAGAAAAAGAAAGAGTCTAGCTCAAACTTGATTTCCAAGTTTAATAAATAAATGAGCTAAACCAATATAGACCAATGATGTCGTTTCATACGTAGTCAATGTTTAAAAATTAATAATTTTAAGTAACGTAAACAAATCAACCTCACCAAACTATTTAGAGCTCTTAACACCCCCCGCCCCCCCTAAAAAAAAAAAAGTCTAGCTCAAACTTGATTTTCAAGTTTGATAAATAAATGAACTAAACTAATATAGACCAATGGATGTCGTTTCATACTTACTCCCAATGTTTAAAAATTAATAATTTTAAGTACCGTAAACAAATCAACCTCACCAAACTATTTAGAGCTCTTTTGGGGACAACCCCCCCCCCCAAAAAAAAAAAACAGGGAAAAAAAAAAAATTCTAGCTCAAACTTGATTTTCAAGTTTGATAAATAAATGAGCTAAACTCAATATAGACCAATGGATATCGTTTCATACTTACTCAATGTTTAAAAATTAATAATTTTCAGTACCATAAACAAATCAACCTCACCAAACTATTTAGAGCTCTTTTGGGGACATTAGAAGTAAGTTATTTATTGGACTATTTTTATCACATTATCTCTCTACTTTTACATATATTTTCATAATAAATAAAAAAGTCAACTTATAACTCATACTTAAAACAACCCTTATATTATTGAACTCTTTTTCTAATGGTGATTGTAATAGTAGTAGTAGTAGTGCAGATGGTAATGAAGGGATGCTAGAGATGGTGGAGGTGGTGGAGATAATAGTCGGATGGTAGCAATGGTGATCAAGATGGTATGGATGATAATACAAGTAGCGACAATCAAAGTGATCATGATGGTGGTGGTTATAAAATCATGGTAGTGGAGGAGGTTATGATGGGATGATGAAGAGGGTGGTGATGATGAAGGAGGTGGTATGGTGGTCTGACTTATTGAAACCCAACTAGCCCAAACACTTTTGGGCGAGGCCATTTTAGATGCTTCCAGTCTGCATGAAATCGACCCGACTATTATATAACTTAGAATTATTTTTGGAGTTGGTCAAGACTTTTTGGCCTTGTTTGGTTTGTGTTTCTCAAAAAATTTTGAGAAAAATTCTCTACAATTAAGTTTTCAAAAGTAATCAAACCAAACAAATTTTTCCAAATTTTTTTTCCAAAACTTGTTTGGTTTACAAATTTTCCAAACAAATCTCTCTCTCATACACATTAAATCAATCACTTTTTCCAAAACTCTCTCTCAAAATAATTTTTCAAAACATCTTTTGAAAAAAAACCAAACCAAACAAATTTTCGTACTTTTTATCTCAAAACATGTTTCTCAAATACAAACCAAACAAGGCCTTTATTTTTCAAAAATGATCCGAACCCCCTCCAAGGATGACCCCCACGATCTCCTCTGGCCTTTGATTGGCCAGATTTTTTATTTTTTTTTCTCCTCCTCCAATCACCAACCCCCACGTGTGTGTGGGAGTGATGGGGGTTGGTGATTGAGCGAGATGGGTTTTACGGTGTCACGAAGCCTTAACTTCTTATGTTGTCAAGTGCATATATTTTTATTTAAAATATATATTAAAAAAATTTAGATAAATAAAATACGTGAGACTCGAAACTTTGACCTTTAGTTGAATAAAGAAAATACTTATCAATAACACATTATACATAACAAATATTTTATTTATTTTTATTTATTTAAATTACACACTCAGTGGCTGCTATTTAAAAGGTGGCGTGTACCTGTACGTTAAAATTTTCCCTTATGCCTCTTGAGCCAAAGTTCTCTTCTTGCAGTTTTGTACTTGCGCTCGTTTTTGTAGGTTTTTTGATTTATTTTTAGGCCTAATTTTAATAATCCGAACCGTTCATATTTTATGATTTATTCAGTATATCATACTTGTAAAAAATCAAATTTATCGGATATCAGAAAGTATATGTTCGAAAAATTGTTTATTAAATTCTTTAAAAAATAGTTTTTAGTTCAATTTTTCGAACACATACTTTCTGATATCCGATCAACTTGATTTTTTACAGGTATGATATACTGAATAAATTATAAAATATGAACAATTCAAATTATCAAAATTAGGTCTAAAAGTAAACCCAAAAACCACGGACGCAATGCCTCTTTCTTTCATTTTGCACGAAACGCTACTTGGGGTTGGGGGTCAAAATCAGACCCAACAATCTCGCTCTATCTAGACTGTTCCGACTTGGAACGGTGTCTCGCTTCGGCGGCGAGACTGGTTCAGCGGCGACAATCGACGGTACGCACTCATTATCTGCTCTGCGATTGATGACACTATTTTCTAAGTCTGCTTTTACCGATCTAATTTTTCTCTCCCATTGATTTGGGTTTTTTTTGCAAAATAAGGTAATTTTTCTTCTCTTTTAATGTACATTTTATTTTTTGATGATGATGGTGATGATGTTGGTTCATGATGTTCATATAAAATAATTTGATTTTTTTTTTTTTTTTTTTTTTGTAAATTTTTTTTCATCTATACTAACTAATGAGAGAGTTTGAAGGTCTGGGTAGGATAAAATTACAGAATTTTATACTTTTAGGGCTATTCTGGATTATTTCTCTTCTTTTTTTTTTTGGGTTAAATTTTTTTTTGATTGTTTGTTTTATTTTATGCCTCTACTTATGTACTCAAATCCAGGTGCCTCTATGTTTAATCTTTCTTCTTCATTGTCAGTAAAGGTATGAAAAGAGAAGTGAAAACCCTAGTTTGCGGTTGATAGACTTTTGTAAATATGATTTGAGAGAATGAGTTGTATTTTGAGTATGTGATATGTAGAATTATGATTTTAAGGTAGAAAATTTGTTTGGTTATGATTTTTGAATAAAGTGTTGAATTGAGTTTGAATTGTACGCGTGGAATTGAGTTTTGAAAGTTTGATATAACATGTGAAATAAGAAAATTTGTTTGGTGATGAGTTTTTAAAATAATTTTCAAACTTAATTCAACCTATAATTAATAATTAAACATAAAACTCATAACTCGATATCCGTATTTTTTGATCAACAGTCATAACTAAACTATTTTTAAAATACTTAAATAAAAAAATGATTTTTTTTTTCAATTAATTGTTTTTAAGTAATTTTTTTGAACAATTTTTTTTTTCAAATAACTTCTATGTCAATTATTTTATGTCAATTAATTTTTCTGCCAATTCATTTTTTAGGCCTGTATAAACGTTAAAAATATTAAAAATATTTTAAAATATTAAAAATATTCCGAAAATTAAAATATTAAAAATATTTACAATTAAAATATCAAAATATTAAAATATTTTTATGAAAAATAAAATATTAAAAATATTCCTATAAAACAAAATAAAATATTTAAAATAAAAAAAAATAAAAAATATTTAAAATAAAAATTAAGTTGTTTTTTAGTTTTGAAAATAGTTTTGAGTTGTGTGTTTGGTTATGAGTTTTGAAAAGTAATGATTATAGTTTGAAATGAGTTTTGAGAAATGAGTGTAGAATTATGATTTAAAAGCTGCAACTACTTTTGAAATCTAAACCAAACAGAGCCTATTTTTTTCAACGACTTCAAATCTTCAGATTTGTAGTGACTTGTAGAAAAGCAAAAAATCCTAATTTTTCAAACCCTGAAGCTTTATACTGAGGACTTAAGAGATATTCTTTTGCTTTTTTCTTTTCTTTTTCCATTTTTGTGGTCAGTTTCTGTTAGAATTATGAATCTTTACTTAGGTTTTCATTTCTTAAATTTATGTTCTTGTTCAAACTCAAATGCTATTTGGTTGTTACTAAAAGGTGCAAAAAGAAAAGTGAAAGTTACATTTTTGTTATCTTTATTTTGCAATACTTACAAAGAAACAATTTGGAATGAAAATTTTCTGCTGTTGTGCAGTTTGTGAGTTTCTCTTCTAATCCTGTGGAGAATGTCCAACTAATTGGTAATATATTGGCAATGCTATACGAAGCGACACTGAATTGAGTAGGCTGAGTTAGTTTGTCAGTTTTGATCAATTACTCTTGCTACTTGGAGAGGCAAAAATGCTTGAAATGTTGCCGATATTACCCCTTCCAGCGCCCCCCTCTGATGGGAATCTTGGTCCTCTTCCCCCATCTCAAGTTTCAGAGCAATCTGATGATGAGAAGAAAATAGAGACTGAGGATCAGAACAGACCTAACTCTGTTCCCACATCAATTGCAACCCATACAAGAACCATTGGAATTATACATCCTCCCCCAGACATTAGGAATATTGTCGATAAAACTGCACAATTTGTTGCAAAGAATGGACCTGAGTTCGAGAAAAGAATTATTGCAAACAATGCTGGCAATGCTAAGTTTAATTTCTTGAATGCCTCGGATCCATACCATGCTTATTACCAGCACCGCCTCTCTGAGTTTCGAGCTCAAAATCAAACTTCTTCCCTGCAGCAGCCTTCAGATACATCTGCCTCAGAGTCGGCTCCTTCTGTTCCTGACGCGGATGGTAACGAGGCAGTTACAAAATCTGACCCCTCGGCCCAGTTTAGACCTGTCCGTAAAGTTCTCGAGTCACCAGAGGCTGAGCAATACACCGTTAGGCTTCCAGAGGGGATTACAGGGGAGGAATTAGATATTATTAAGCTCACTGCCCAGTTTGTGGCTCGTAACGGAAAGTCTTTTTTGACGGGATTGACTAGCAGAGAGATTAACAACCCTCAATTCCATTTTTTGAAGCCAACCCACAGTATGTTCATGCTTTTCACGTCACTTGCGGACGCATATTCAAAAGTTTTGATGCCTCCAAAGGGATTGACAGATAAGTTGAAGAAGAGTGTTACTGATATGACTACCGTGCTTGAACGTTGCTTGCACCGGCTGGAGTGGGAACGTTCACAAGAGCAAGCAAGGCAGAAAGCTGAAGACGAGATTGAGCAGGAACGGGTGCAAATGGCTATGATCGATTGGCATGATTTTGTTGTGGTTGAGTCTATAGACTTTGCAGATGATGAAGATGAGGAGTTACCTGCTCCAATGACCCTCGAAGAGGTTATAAGGAGGAGCAAGATGTCAGCTGTGGTAGAAGAAGATATTGTCGAGCCCGGAAAGGAAGTGGAAATGGAAATGGATGAAGAAGAGGTCCAACTTGTTGAAGAAGGAATGAAGGCAGCTAGTCTTGAAGAGAACGGCGAAGAGAAGAAGAATGAGATGACCATGCCAATGGAGGAACAGGAACCACCAATGAGAATTGTGAAGAACTGGAAGAGGCCCGAGGACAGGATCCCTGTAGAAAGAGATCCGACAAAATATGTTGTTTCGCCAATCACTGGTGAGCTAATTCCCATTAACGAGATGTCAGAGCATATGAGGATCTCTCTCATCGACCCCAAGTACAAGGAGCAGAAAGAGAGGATGTTTGCTAAGATTCGGGAGACTACTCTTGCTCAGGATGATGAAATTTCCAGAAACATTGTTGGACTTGCACGGACCCGGCCTGATATTTTTGGTACCACGGAGGAAGAAGTTTCTAATGCAGTCAAGGCAGAGATTGAGAAGAAAAAAGACGAGCAACCAAAGCAGGTCATATGGGACGGTCATACGGGGAGCATTGGTCGCACTGCAAGCCAGGCCATGTCACAGAATGCAAATGGAGAGGACCAAAACGACACTGCGAATAATGATTCAAGGAATCTTCCGGGGCCTGCCGCCCCTCCCCCTCCTAAACCTGGTGTGCCATTGGTTCGGCCACTTCCTCCTCCACCTGGTCTAGCCTTGAATCTTCCTCGTCTACCCCCAAATGCAGTCCAGTATTCAACTCCAACTAGTAGTGGAATGCTTGCACCACCTCCACCGAGGCCACCAGTTAATATGATTCCGTCTGTGCGGCCACCTCCTCCAATGCAACTAATGCCTGGACAGCAATCCCTTTTCTTAAATCATCCACCCCCAATGCCTCCAATTTCTGTGAATCCACCACCTAGTATTCCTGTGCCACCTCCACCTGGATCTCAATTTACACCCCTGTCAGCTCCTCGGCCTTTTGTTCCTCTTTCCATACACCAACCAGGCATGCATATGGTTCCACCACCACCTTTACCTCAAGGAATGCCTCCGCCGCCACCGCCTGAGGAAGCTCCTCCGCCGCTTCCAGAAGAACCGGAGCCAAAGAGACAGAGGCTTGATGATTCTGTTCTTATTCCCGAAGACCAGTTCCTGGCTCAACATCAAGTATGGAGCGACTCTGCATTTATCTTTATTCATCATTTGAGTTATTCTTGTTTTATTGAATTATTCTTTGCTTGGTTTATCTGCTGTTTGTATTATCATTTCAGACTATTTTTTGGATTTTCAGTTCCTGATTGAAGTTATGCATTCTTGTTTTTTTGCAGCAGGGACCTGTTCGCATCGCTGTATCTGTGCCAAATGTTGATGAAGGAAACCTCAAAGGGCAAGTACTGGAGATAACAGTACAGTCCTTAACCGAAACCGTTGGCAGTCTGAAAGAGAAAATTGCAGGAGAGATCCAACTTCCTTCAAACAAACAGAAGCTGAGCGGAAAGGCTGGTTTTCTCAAGGATAATTTATCTCTTGCATATTACAACGTTGCTGGAGGGGAAACACTTGCTCTTTCTTTAAGAGAGCGTGGTGGTAGGAAGAGATGAATGGTTTTTGTTGGCCAGGCCTTTAAAGGTTCGTATTGGAACTTTCTTGTTACTGTGGGAATTCTCCATATGAATTGTGGGACTCCTTAATTCAACTTTATTAGGTGTTATATTGGGAGATATGTTGGTCATATAATTTAGACAGTTTTAAAATTTGATCAACGTTATCTTTACTACAGATCTGATGTATTGGCAATCGTCTGTTGAGGGTAACAGGAAGTGAGCTGTTCTTTGTCACTAAGCGGAGAAGTTGATGCTGTCTTATACATACATGTTTGTTATCTCACTATGATTAGTCATCAGATCTTCTTGTTGAGATGGATTATTTTATGTTTGTCCTTTCATGCTGTTCATTGAATTCGATAATTCTGAATTTTGCTATTGGCAAATTAGTAATTTGAAGCTCTTTCTAGAATGCAAGTTTTGTTTTGTAGGGATATACTTGAGCAGGAGAGGAGGAACTGTTGTGGAAAGATCCCATGCTAGCTATGTCTCAACTGCGGTGACAGGTGGGATTTTGTTGTTTCCTCAGTAGAACAGAAGAATAGACACTTTTCAAAATGTTCAAGGACAGTTGCCACTCCACCACCACCACCACCATGACGGCAACCGTCACACCATTGCTGCTGCTGCTCCACTACTTTCACTGTCTCACCAGCACTGCCACGGGGGGGGGGGGGGGGGGGGGGGGGGGGGGGGGGGGGGGGGTTGTGTTGGAATTGATGAAGTAAACGGGTTGGTTATGGTCATTTGTCCAGCCAGTTTATTAAATGGGCAAGTTTGGTTTAGATTGTTTTAATTGTGCTCAACTCATTTTCACTAATTTTTCATGAAAGAATTGCTGATAAATGAATGGTAAATGAAAAGCAATTGAAAAATAAAGGAGATGCAAATGAGGCCCTTGCATCGGAATACAACTTTTATTTGTACTTTTTTTAATTGCTTTTTTCCAATGCAATTTATCTAAAATTCTTCCGTTTTTTTCCATATGTTAATTGCAAGTGCATCCGGATGGATTTGAGAGTAAAATTATCTCAACTATGGGACTGTTTGTTACAGTTTTTGGAGATAATTGTAACTTATTTTGATTTGAGAATTTGTACCAAATTGGCACAGCTTCTGCTTATAGATAGTTTAAATAAGTTGAAAAAAATTAATTATTTAAAACTAGAGTAGAGATGCTTTTGACTTTTACTTTCTGATTATCAACTTTTCACTTAAAAAAACTTTCACCAAACAGGGCATATATCATTTTTGATGAGTTACAATTTCTTAATTCATGGCCACCCTGCACAGATTCAAAATGCATGAATTGATTTGAGTATTTTAACAATTTGAACCCACATTTTAAACTTATAAATTTATAATTGTGAATTGACAAAATCAGAATAGAAGAAATGTTCGACGGTAACGACATTTAGGAAGCAACGATTAAGGGGCTGAGCAACACTGAAAAATTTGAGAGATGGAAGTAGGAAAATGAAAATATATACGTTTGGAGTTGAGCAATTTATTTATCTATATTATTATTATTAAAAGCCAACAGGAATTTTGGTATCCTGAAGCCTCTCAGAAATTTTTTTCCATTTTTTCCAAAATGGCCATAACTTCTTAAATAATTATATTATTTTTACACTGATATTAATATATAGTTAAGGGTAACCTGATAAATTCAAACCAACCAATTCCATCACCTCACGTTTTCAAACTGCACAGCAGTTCTAAACTAGTTTCAACATCTTCGAATTCTATTTTGAACGATTGAAACCTCGGGAGAGAGAAAGAGAGATCAGATCTGGTGAAGGAGAGATTGGTAGCAATTGTGCACCAATAAAAACCTAATCATACTCGAAGAGATACGAAGAAGTTCAATCTCCTCAAATTCAACACCATCCAAAGACAATTCTTCAAGAACAGGGCATCCATCAACAACCCTCTGGTGAAGGAGAGATTGGTAGCAATTGTGCACCAATAAAAACCTAATCGTACTTGAAGAGATACGAAGAGGTTCAATCTCCTCAAATTCAACACCATCCAAAGACAATTCTTCAAGAACAGGGCATCCATCAACAACCCTCTCGAACGATTCTCCATCAACAAATCCAACATAATCCAAATAAAGGCGCTTAAGTTTCGGCAAAAAAAAACCGAATCTGGAACATTCAAACCACAATGCTGGCTCAACAACAAATCCACAAGGGTTGTGGAGTCAAAATGACCAGGAATTGACACACCTGTGCTCTTCACATTGAAGAACAACGAAAGCCCAGTTACATTTCGCTTTAAAGCAATAGCTACCCATTCATCAATGTTGGAATAGCCATAGTCGTGATGACACTGGAGATGGAGTTTGTGAATAGTTGGGACGTCCATGAGAGTGACTGTGAACAAATGGTTCATGAAATTGATGAAATTGGAATTGGTGGTGTTGTTGTGGTGGGCAGTTTGGAGAGGATGCAATAGAGAATCAATTCTGGCAAATAATGTTGGAATAGCCATAGTCGTGATGACACTGGAGATGGAGTTTGTGAATAGTTGGGACGTCCATGAGAGTGACTGTGAACAAATGGTTCATGAAATTGATGAAATTGGAATTGGTGGTGTTGTTGTGGGGATTCAAGAGCAGAGAATCGTCGATGTTGATGGTGGGAATGGGGATTGAAGCAAAGAGGTTGTTCCATTTGGTGGATAAGATGGTTGTGCTGGCGGCGAATTTGGTGGGCAGTTTGGAGAGGATGCGATAGAGAATCAATTCTGGCAAATTGCTGATTCTATCTTCGCTACTGTTATCGACATTGGCTAGGGTTTCATGGCGAGTTGGTGACGGAGGGTTGTGAAGGTGTTTATGACGTTTTAGAGCTGTATCCATGGGAGGTTTTGTTTTGGCCCAGAAGTTGTAATGAGGTATAATTATTTTGATGTTTATTCAATTTGATACGATACTACTAAACAATTTGATATGCTATTTAGGTTGCTTTGTAATGAAATGTAAAATAATTGATAGTGATTAGAAACATTAAAAATAATTGTATAGATTTTTTATAAATATATTATCGTTGTCAGTATATTTTTATTTTAATTGAGATAATGTAGAAGTATATGAGAATGTGTGTATATATATCATATTAAATTCAAAAAAAAAATTATGCAATTGAATATATAAATCATAAAAAAAAAAAAAAACCAAATTGAATGAGGATATACTAAAATTTTTATCAATTGAATTTTCAAATGAGTTTGCACACGCATCGCGTGTCGTGTGTCCAGTCCCTAGTATGTATAAATACTAGCAAGTTGAGTCAAATGGATTGAAAATTTAAACCGCACAATCGAATCTAACCTGCATAAATTATGTTAACACGCTCAACCTAACCCAACTCAACCCGTCAATGCTCTCAAAACAGACTTTGCACGCCCCTATAATTATCAACAACCAAATCATATCTTGCAATTTCAAGTTGAGCCATACAATTAGAACCGAACAGCCCTGTGGCACCAAAAAAAAAACACAAAAACTCCTTGATAGACATTTAATTAAAAGCTCCAATCCAACAACTAAAAATATTGCAAATGCTGAAAACTCACTACTGATATTGCAAATGTCTGAAATACAAGAAAGCACAAAACAAAACAACTCCGGTCCCAAATGGGTGGAACAAAATCTTTTGCATAGTAATTAATAGATGGGTCTGTTGCACACATCAGCAACAACTTAAACCTTGTAGCCTCGGCTGTTCCTTTTTCCTCTAGCCTGCTCAAATTTCCTTCCCTTTGATCGCACATAGGGCTTAGTATGGCTGTGCGGCACACCGGGAGCCTTGCCAAAATGTTTCACTGCTTCACGAGAATTCTTGGGGCCTCTAAGGAGTACCTGTATGGGAATCAAGAAAATAATTGATTCACGAAATCTACATATTAACATCGAGGGGAAATATTATAACCCATAATTTTTTTGATATTATTGGTTATAAAATAAAAAGGCAAGAAAAGAAATGCTAACTTCTGTTGATCCATACCAAATGCCATTATCTATTTGCTCAATTTTTATCAGAAATCGATGGTAATAAACATGGAACACTCAAGTACAGTATAGCACAAGCTAACACAACATCCACAGACCCACCTCCAATGGCTTTTCATAGCTATATATAATTCAGGAAACCACCACTTAGAAAAAGGGAGTTTCATAGCTAAGTGTCCATCGGAGTTTCAAGATTCAAGACAAAATATTTTTTTTTTAGAAAAAGGAGGGGGAAAAAAATGAAGAATAACTGCAAATGTCTATGAATAAGCTTTGGCATTTAATTGATGTGTACTGCAATGCCAGACCAGAGCAACCTGTAGGCTAGAGATCGGAATTCTAGTGAGACATTCCAATGGGTACAAAAACGTTCAAGGATGTCATCACAGTAACAAAGACATTGGCCACAACTGGAAAATTTTCAAAAGGGAAAGAATCATCTGATTACAAGAAAACTAATTATAAAATCACCAAAGTACTCACAAAGTCAAAGCACATTTGAAGTTGACAAAAACCTCAACACACACTAGGATCCATAACTAACATAGTTCCTAAACTCTCTGTTGGCTGTCATTTCGTTTTCTCAATTGAAAAGAAACAACAGGAATGGTTAGGTGTATTGTTTCAGATTCGTCAATATAGTAACATATTTTGGTGTCTTGTGATTTCCATTTGTATAAATGTGAATGTGCACATGTTACATGTAATTGTTGCATAATACATTTCAGAGGATATTTTAAAGAAAACCAAGTACTAAAGGGGAATGCAATTTACAATATACCCCAAAAATAATCAATGTGTTTGATTTTAATTTTTTGAATTCAGTGTTCAGAAATTTGAGTTTTTTGTTTTTCGTACTTTTTTTTGTTTTTAGTAAATATTTTTTTTACTTTTTAGTATTTTTTTTACTTTTTTAGATGCACCTTACTTGGATGTATCTAAAAAATAAAATATTTGTAAAAAAATATTTCAAAAATAATAATAAACACACAAAAATACAAAAAATATACTGAATTTTCATATTTTTTTATATTTTTGGTATTTAGTGAATTTTTTAAAGATTTTTTTCACGAAAATTATACTTTTTAAGTGTATTTATGTTAAGTGTGTCTAAAAATTAAAAAAAATACTTAAACTATGAAAAAAAATCATTAAAAATAAAAGAAATACCGAAACAAGAAAATAGAATTTTCTGAAAAGTGTTTTTAGAAAACCTAAACCAAGCAAAGTGATTCGGTTCTTATAAATTTCAACTGATCATTGGAAGTATGTTATGCCAGTCTCCAACCCCCATGATAAAACGTTCCATAAAAAGTCAATAGTAAATCCCATTTATAGGAGACAAACACAATAACAAATAGCTGTGTGAGTTGATAAGAAAATCCATTCTAAACACATTATCTAATCAAAATATATGATCTAATCCAAATTGCGCAAGCATAAAACAAGAAGTATAATTAAATTGCATACCGTGTTCTGCCCAAGTGGAGCTCTGAGGGCCAGCTGATCAAATGTCAGGCACTCACCACCGGCCTTCTCAATCCTTGCTCTCGCTGTCTCTGTGAACCTCAGTGCAGTCACCTTCAAGGCAGGAACTTCATGGGCCCTAATGTCATCAGTAATGGTACCAACAACGACTGCAATCTTTTCGCCCTGGTACAAAACCAGTAGCAATGTTAAACAATTATATCCACAAAAACACTATTTTAGAGTATACAATTGATTCTAAAAGTAAATAACAATACATGAATTTAATTCTAAAGCTCCGTTGAACAACAAAGAGAATTATGTTTAGAAACAAATGGTCAAGAAATGGCACAATCTTTCTATAACAGAAATGAAGCAACTTGGAAAAGCATTTTTAGTCATTTTTCCACTTTCTGTCCATGACAGATTCACAATGAGATCTAAATAGACATAAATCTCCAATTTCTGATTATTTGGGATATGACCAAAAAAAAAAGGGAGTTTCTACTAGTCAGAGCATAATACTGTGAATTCTTAGTTTTTTCAACTTCCAAAGCGACAGAAATATTCAAGATTTCTTCTTTTTTATATATATCTTTGTGGCAGCTTCCTCATAACTTGAATCCTAATGCATTTTCCACATATTGCATACAATATTCACAATTTTTAGAGATGTTTTCACAATTTTTAGACAATATTCACAATTTTTAGAGATGTTTTCACAATTTTTAGATAGTTACATACACCTTTCACATTTCTATAACAGAAATGATTCCACTTGAAAAATAATTTTTAGTCATTTCCCCTTTTCAGTCAATCATAGATTCACAACAAGATCTAAATAGACCCTGAATCTTCGATATCTCATTATTTGGGATATGACAACCAAAAAAAAAATGAATCTCTACTCATCAGAGCATAATACTATGGATTTTTCGTTCTTTCAACTTTCAAAGCAACCAAAATATTATAGATTTCTTCTTTTTTATATTTCTTTGTGGAATCTTCCCAATAATTAGAAACCTAATGCATTTTCACATATTTCATACAATATTCACAATTTTTAGAGATATTTTCGTACACTATTCACAAACTTCTACACAATTTTTACACATACATCGCAACTAATGACTATAATTTTCCTAAATATGCACAAGATCCTAATAACAATATTGATCTATGGAGAGAGAGAGAGAGATAGAGAGAGAGGAGTCACCTTTCCCTGCATGAAACGAATCAAGCGAGAGAGAGAGATAGGAGGCTTATTGACCTTGCTCATGAACAACCTCTTCAGTATCACAGCATTGAACTTGCTTCCCGTCCTCCTCACAAGAAAACGGTACAGCTGAACACAGATCAACCGTCATCTTATTCAAAAAAACACATAGATTTGAAGATTTGAATATAAACACATACATACATATATATACACACAGAGATAGAGAGAGAAAGTGAGAGAGAAAGAGAGAGAGGTGTGCCTTGACGAGGAGCTTGAGATAGATATCTTGGGATTTGGGGGCGGTCCTTTTGGTCTTCTTGCTCTTGCCACCGGCTTTCAGATCGATACCCTATCAACAACAACATGTTATGTTAATCCAAGAAAAATGATAAAGACGTAGAGACTCTGATTAGGGTTTCAGAGAAGGAGACATAGATACCATGGCTGCTGCGCTTGATGTTGCTGTTACACGCCGCGACTCCGCCGAAACCAAAAATGTGTGCAGATATAGAGAGGGAGAGAAGGGCTTAGGGTTTTTTATTTTGGTAGGGATCAGGAAAAAGGTAGGGGTTCACAACTAGCCGGGATTTGATAAGTTTGGGCCAGCAGGAGTTGGACTGGGCTTGGCTCCAACCCATATTCTGGACCGGTCCAGACTGAGCCTGCGGACACTACATTCCGATTCATTCATCTTATAACTTTTACAACAATGATTGAGGGTCACAATTTTTATGACTCAAATAGTTTGAAATTGTCAAAATGACGTTGTTTTGAGTGCAAAATAACTTTAAAATTGTCAAAACGATGTCATTTTGACAATTTCAAACCATTTAAACTACAAAAATTGTGACCCTCAAACATTTTTCTAACTTTTACAAGGAAAAACAAGTAACTTTTTTATAAAAAAAAATAAAACACATGCATAAGGAGTTATAATCAAATATTATTTAAGGTATAATTAAAATAATAATTATAATGGATCATAATCAATATTATAATCAATAGAGGTGAGTAGCGGATATACTGATATGCTCAAATCGATTGAACCGAACTGATCTGCCGCATTTTAAATGGATGTTTGATGACGAGCTGAGGTTGTGGATTGATTTTTTCATTCCGCCTAATTTTGGACGGATGGTGGATTTGAGGTTCCTTTAGCCACAACTACCAAACCGCAAGTACCTCTAGTAATTTATAAGATTTTGTGTTTTCAATTTATTTAGATATTCTATTTGTATTTTTAATTAAAAAAGAGTTTAAATATTCTGTTGAATATATTTTGTTGAAAAAGAGTTTTCAACTTGAATATATTTTTTGAATTGAAAAAAATAAATGTATTATTTATTTATATTTTTTTGTTTTTAAAGCTAACTCTAAAAATAATAAATAAAAAAGATGTATATGCTGGTTAGTTTTTGTTTTCAAAAACAGATTTAGATGTAATAATACAGAGACATACAATCTCTATTACTGTTCTATTTATGATTTTGGTGGTTTGAATTGTTTTTATATTTTAAAAATTACAAATTGTAATACTTTATGTGGATGAAGCATATTGTGATTGTAATATTCTAAAGTTTCAAACTTTCTTTCTTTGGATGAAGCATGCAGTGATGTAATATTTTTTTAAGTTATTGACCATAATACTTTCTTTTCTTTTTTTTAAATAAGTGCACAAGTTGAATTATGTTAAAAATTTATAAAATTTTAAATTATCAAATCAATTCACATCCATCCGCCAATCCACTCAATCCACATCCGCTGGATTAATAGACGGATACGGATTAATTTTCTCCAATCCGCCAATCTGGATGGCGAATGATGGATTGAAGGTTCCGTAGCCACAACCGATCCACGCCCACCCCTAATAATCAATCATAACTACTTTAGGCATAACTCAATATTTTTTTAATCATAATTGAAATAATAATTACAAGAGATCATAACTAGCACAGTGAGCTATAACTAAATTATACCTAGCATCACAATTCATAAATATTACAAAAGTTATAACTGTGCATACAATATACACCTTTTTTTTTTTTTAAGTGTATTATATAATTTTCTGGTGATACAAATAAATCAAGGGCCAGCTGGTAATTTATAGACATTATTAAAGGCATAAAAGTGCTGGCTGGCAGCTTACCTGAAGGATACTGATTAAGTTTGACATATCCAGAAAAAGTTAAAAAGTCAAAAAATTACTTAAAAAGTTAAAAGTTAATACTATTTATCAAAAGTCAATAATTACGGCTGCACAACTCTCAATCTTAATTTTCTCCTACAAATTAATTTTTACAATTTTTTATTACACATTTTTTCATAAAAAGTCAAAAAGTTAACTCAAATATCTATATTTTCTTCCTCAAATTTTTAGTCTAAAAAGACAAAAAGTACGCTTATTTAGAATACCCCAAACAACCCCTAACTTCAACCAACCAGTCCTTTTGGCCTCATCTCGAAACAATTATATTGATGTGTTCCACAATAATTGATTGACAATTTTAGAGAAGGTAGAGTCTTGGTTTTCATATTAGTGTATCTTCATTGCTCACAACTTAGCTATGCGAAACTTTGTTCTAATTTTAATTTGCCTTCCAAATTCTAAATATTTTTGTTCATGTCATCTACCTTTCATACATATAATCTTATTTTTATTTTTATTTTGTTTTTCATTTTACAGAGGTGAGTGGATCACATATATCTATGAATATGAGCTCTATTGCTTTATGTATAAAAGTAAGAAATAAAATTATCTTAAATTATATATGTATAATTATTTTGTTTCATGATAGTAATAACAACAGCCTACAATAAAAGAAAATCAATGTGCAGATAGCCGGACTACGATAGGTGTACACTAGCAAGAAGATCTTAGGGACAATAAAGGATCTACCTAATGTGATTAGGAGCCAAAATCTTATCATTGAGTTGGTAGGAAGAGTGTTTAAGGACCTAGCCTCTCAATGCTCTTAGTTTTGTGTTCTTTTTAATTTGTTTTACATTATACTTGAAAAAAATGAATTGGTTAAAATCTATTGGACATTGTAACATTCATATATGATATAAGCGAGTTCAGAACCCCTGCTATGGTTTTCGGTCATGCTTCTTGTGGTAATTTCAAAACAATGTCATTTTGATAAAAATAAATAAATAAAAATTCATTTTCCCCATCTTTTCCTTTCTTTCTTATTTGTTCCAAAACCTAACCTATCTTTGAAAGAGACGAACAGAGAAGAGCGGAGCAGAGGCGGAGGTGAAACGTAGAGGAAGGTGGCTATTGGTGACTCCGGTGACGTAGCAAGGAGAGGTGGCAACGAGGTCATTCTCAAGATCGGCTCTCAAAGGGAAAAAGAAAACCCATAACCTATTTGGTTGCCATGAAGCCTAGGATTAAAGATTACTTATTATTGAGTAATTTACTGTCTTTGTTTTTGAATTAAATAAAAATGGACAAGAAAATAAGAAAATCTTAGAAAGAAAAAAGAGCAAAATAGGGGATCTTTGTTGATAAACCAAAAGATTTGAGTGCGAAATAGTTGAAGATATATATATAGAGAGAGAGAGAGATAGATGAGTAGACCACCTTGATGTGATTAAGAGCCATAGACTCCAAAAGAGGACATCATCTTAGTGTCTTGCAAGTTACATCTAAGAAAATGGACCTGGGAAATTTTTGAAAGTTTTTCACTGTTGGTTTGATCATTGAAGAGGTATATTTAACATCTTATCCAGCTTAAGCTTGTCGCCGTCGCATCCCCACTGCTCTTCGTCTCTTTATTTGTTAGGGTTGCAGCCTCTCTAACATTTGAGAGATAAGAGAGAAAACAATTATGGTCTCTTTAATATGAGCATTGTAAGTGAGAGGCCAGCTTTTAAACTAATTATGTGGTGTCTCCCCTGTAGGTATAATTAAATTGAACATAGATGGTTGTAGGAAGCTAGGAGGAGATGAAGGCTTTGGAGGCCAATTTAGAGATGAAGTTGCAGCATAACTATGTGGCTATTATGGAAGATTATACAATGGGACAACCCTTAAAGTTGAATTATGGGTCATTTATAAAGGTCTTACAATGCTTCTTTAGAGAGGATGAAACAAAGTTATCATTGAAACAGATGCTATGCAAGCCGTGAAGCTACTGGAGGAGGAGACTGAGGCAAATTCTCCTTTCAAAGGCCTTATAGAAGATGCCAAGATCATAATGCGAGGATGTGAGTGTACAATGCAACATGTGTTCAAGGAGGGTAATCTTTGTGTTGATGCACTTGCCAAGTTTGGAGCTGAACAACCCGAGGATATTCTGGTGGTGAACAAGTTACCAGTTGAGATTAGGAGTTTGCTTGTTGCAGACATTATTAGCACACCTAGGGAAAGTGCTTAAGCCTTTGTTTTTTGTTGTTTTTCCAATGTACCTAAAAAAAAGGGTAAATTACATTGACATCACCTGAGATTTATATTTATTACAATTCTCCCTCACCTTTTGAAAATTACATTCCCCTCTCTAATGTTTAAAGTTTCATTACAGATTGCTCCTTCCAGCAATTTAATTTTTTTAAATATCAATTTTGCCCTCACTTGGTAAATTAAATTGGCACCCCTCACATTTTAGAAATTACAATCCCCTCCCCAAGGTTTAAAGTAACATTACCAATTGTCCCATCGGTTAGTATTAGTTGAAAAAAAAAATCATTGGAAAAAAAATTAATTGAAAAAAAAATTTGTTAGTCAAAATTTTAAATTTCTGTTTAAAAACCAACGTAAATTCATTTTTTGAATTTATGTTTTTTCCTCAAATTTACAAACTGAGACAATCATTTATAAACTAAAAAAATTAACAAACAAGTTTTTATAATAGTTTTTAAAATTTTTGTAAATATAAATTGAAAACTGAAAACGAAATGGTTACCAAACAGGTCTCAGATGGTAAAAATGTCAAAAAATTAACAAATAATTAAATAAGTTATCAACGCAAGAAATGACTTATCAAAAGATTCTTAGGCTATGTATAGTTTGATTTTTCGATTTTTTTTAAATTAAAAATTAATTTGGTTAAGAAATAAAAAATCAAAAATAATTAAAATTTTTATCTTTCGAGTGTAATAAACATAAATATCAAGGGGTGTCAATGTAATTTTTATCTTACGAAACAGGTCTCAGGTGATAAAAATGTCGTAAAATGCACAAATAATTAAATAAGTTGCCAACGTAAGAAATAACTTATAAAAAGATTCTTAGGCTATGTATGGTTTGATTTTTAGAAAAAAAATTTTAAAAATTAAAAATTAATTTAGTTAAGAAATAAAAAATAATTGTCATTTTTATATAATTTTTATCTTTCGAGTGTAATAAACATAACCTCAAGGGGTGTTAATGTAATTTGTATCTTACGTTAGTTTTTAAATAGAAATTTAAAAATTTAACTAACAAAATTTTTTTTCAATTAATTTTTTTTCCAATTAATTTTTTTTTTCAACCAATACTAATCGAGGGAACAATTAATGATGCTACTTTAAACCTTAGGAAGGGGATTGTAATTTCTAAAATGTGAGGGTTGTCAATGTAATTTACCCAGTGAGAGCAAAATTAGTTTTAAAAAAAATTAAATTGCTGGAGGAAGTAATCTGTAATGAAACTTTAAACCTTAAGGAGAGAAATGTAAAAGGTGAGAGAAAACTGTAATAAATATAAACCTCAAAAATATCAATGTAATATACCCAAAAACAAAAAGAGCCAAAAAAAAAAATAAAATCAAAACGACGTCTTTTTAAAAGTATTGCAAGAATCACCATAGCTTAACATGTCAGGGGATCCACACTCGATATAAGCATCCCAAATACATATTTTGTCTTCATAGTTGGGCATTGGATCAAATCATGTTGTTTGAGTTTTATTTGTATTCAATTAATTAAAAATTCACTTGAAATCCCTTAGTAATGTAAACTACTAAAGATTAGTGAACAATACCACTTTTAAAATGACACAATTAAAGTTTGATTGAAATTAATTAAATTTTAACACTTTAAAAATCGTTAAGAAAATATTCAATTACTCAATTAATAGTTCAAAGTCCAACTATATATTTGGACACATTAAATGCTCATAGAACAGTATTAATGTACCATGTATGTACTTTTTTTTTGGGTAAGCAATGAACTATCATAAATTAAAGAAGGCAGCAGTCTGAGTATACATCGCTGCCATGTACTTATTTCTATCCCTCGAGAACCTACGTGGTATAGGCCTATTGGATAGAGATGTGAAAAAGTATTTATAATTTATATTTAAACAGCTTATATCTTATAATTATAAACATAAGTTAATTTTTGACTTATAAATTAAGCATTTCCTGTCCCACTCAAAGAATAAGTTGATTTCTGATTTCTAAAAAGTTATAAGCTATAAACTATAAGGTAAACCAAACACATCAAAATAACTTAAATTAAGCTGAAAACTGAAATAAGTAGCTTTTCAGTTGCACCAAACAGGGCGATAGTCATTTCAATTTTCAAATTATTATTTTAGTCAAATAAAAAATTAATTTAAATATAAATATATATATATATATATAAATCTAATAAATAAATTTAGTAGTAAATTTATTTTAAAATTTCCTTACCTCTTTATATATATTATGCATTTAATTTTATAATCAAATTCTATGATGTTGTGCCACACAGGTGATGGTGGGGTGAAAATGTACTTTCCTTCTAAATAGTTGAGAAAGACTCTATTTATGAGGGTGCGACGACTTGTTTTTTAAATGGTGAGGTTGATTACGCAGGGCGTGTTTGGTAATGTTTATGTCTTCAGTTTATATTTATAAAAATTTTATAAATTGATTTTTGTTTATTTTTTGTTTATTTTTAAAAAAACATAAAGTACAAACGCGTTTGGCAATTGACAAAATGTTTAAAAATATAAAAAAAATGAGAAATGACAAGTGGTGGCAAGTGGCAGTGGAAGATGGTGGTGGAAAGTGGTGATGGTGGGTTATGGCAGGTGGGTGGGTGGGTGAGTGGGTGACAGTGGTGGGTGGTGGGTGGTAGCGAATGGGTGGTGGTGGCGGATGGTGGGTGGTGGCGGTGGCAGGTGGTGGCGGGCGGAAGACGGTGGTGGAAAATGGTGACGGGTGGTGACTAGTGTTGGATAGTAAAAAAAAAAAAACTCAAAACTTAAAACGTAAAATTATTTTTTAAATTTATATTTTTTGACTAAATTTATAAATTGAAATCATTAATTTATAAATTAAAAATTTACTAAACAAATTTTTATTTGAATTTTTTAAACTTTTATAAATATAATCAGAAAATTGAATATGTAGTGTTACCAAACGGATTGAGCAAGCACACAATCAATATCAAAGAGGAGACAATTAACAAATCAAAGTAGATGTCAGATCACACAACATGACATAGATTTGTTTACTTAAGGGTGAGGAGACAATTAACAAATCAAAGTAGATGTCAGATCACACGACATGACATAGATTTGTTTACTTAAGGGTGAGGAGACAATTAACAAATCAAAGTAGATGTCAGATCACACGACATGACATAGATTTGTTTACTTAAGGGTGAGGAGACAATTAACAAATCAAAGTAGATGTCAGATCACACGACATGACATAGATTTGTTTACTTAAGGGTGAGGAGACAATTAACAAATCAAAGTAGATGTCAGATCACACGACATGACATAGATTTGTTTACTTAAGGGTGAGGAGACAATTAACAAATCAAAGTAGATGTCAGATCACACGACATGACATAGATTTGTTTACTTAAGGGTGAGGAGACAATTAACAAATCAAAGTAGATGTCAGATCACACGACATGACATAGATTTGTTTACTTAAGGGTGAGGAGACAATTAACAAATCAAAGTAGATGTCAGATCACACGACATGACATAGATTTGTTTACTTAAGGGTGAGGAGACAATTAACAAATCAAAGTAGATGTCAGATCACACGACATGACATAGATTTGTTTACTTAAAAAAAAAACTAAAAACTCAAAATGGAAACACATTTTTTATATTTTTATTTTTTGACTAAATTTATTAACTGAGACCACTGATTTATAAATTAAAAATTTTATCAAATAAATTTTTATTTAAAATTTTAAAATTTTTATAAATATAAATAGAAAACTGAAAACGTGTAGTATTTCAGTTGTGCCTTTATTTTTTGTACTAAGAGTTATTGTACTCTTTTCTTTTTATGATAAACTTCTTTTTGAAGTTGAATTAATCTCACCGACAATAAATTAATCTAAGGCTAAAACTCATAGATGGTATAATATTTTCGCAAAACGTGTTTTTCGACGTTCAAACTTTTTTTTTTTCTTGTACTGTTGTGTTTAATTTTATCGTCAAATTTTTTATTTTTATTTTTATTTTTGGATAAATTACATATACCTCTTTGAGGTTTGATTAAATTATAGATATTTTTATGAAATTTATATTTACATAATAATTTATTCTCTAATTTATTATGTAAATAATATCTTTAAAAATATTTATAATTTTTTAAACCTCAAAAAATATTTATAATTTTATTAAACTTCGAGTGATATATGTATTTTGTCCTTTATTTTTTAAATACGTAAAACCAAGTTCTCGCATCTCATCATAGTCATTGTCCAAAGTCTCTAAACCACATTCTCACCTGTCCCACCAAAATTTATTTCCTCTAAATCCACTCCGTTCGTGACGGCCGCGTTAATCTCCAGCGGTTTCTCCACTGTCACAAAACCCTCAAATCCAACCATGCTCTCCTCCAAATCTCGCCGGAAGGTCGTTCCCGCCGCCACAGACGGCGGCGACTCCGCCGACAAACTCGACCAACTCCTCCTCTCCGCCTCCATCTGCAACGGCGAAGACTTAGGCCCCTTCGTCCGCAAAGCCTTCGCCTCCGGCAAGCCCGAGACTCTCCTCCACCATCTCCGCCACTTCTCCAAATCCAAGGAGGCTGAGATCGAAGATGTCTGCAGAGCTCACTACCAGGACTTCATCATTGCCGTCGACGATCTCAGATCTCTCCTCTCCGACGTCGATTCGCTCAAAACCTCTCTCTCCAACTCCAACACTCAATTGCAGTCCGTCGCTGGTCCTCTCTTGTCTTCTCTCGATTCCTTCGTTGAGGCTCGGAATGTCTGCAAGAACGTCAAGCTCGCTCTCGATTCGGTTCGGACTTGCGTTCAATTGATCGAGCTTTGTTCGCGAGGTAATCTTCATCTATCTGCCAACAATTTTTACATGGCGTTGAAGTGTTTGGACTCGATCGAGAGAGAATTTCTCGACAAAACGCCGAGTTCCACGCTTCGGATTATGCTGGAGAAGAAGATCCCGGCGATTCGATCGCACATCGAGCGGCGAGTCAACAAGGAGTTCGGTGATTGGCTCGTCGAGATCCGTATAGTGAGTCGTAATTTAGGGCAACTCGCGATCGGACAAGCCTCGGCGGCGAGGCAGAGAGAAGAAGAGCTGAGAATGAAGCAAAGGCAAGCAGAGGAACAGAGTCGACTCAGTTTGAGAGACTGTGTTTATGCTTTGGAAGAAGAAGACGATGATGGATTTGGTGGAATTGGTGATGAAGGCAAGGATGGTTACAGCAATGGTGGGAGTGGAATGTTCGGATTTGATTTGACTCCTCTCTATAGAGCTTATCATATACACCAGACACTAGGGCTCGAAGATCGGTTCAAACAGTATTACTTCGAGAACCGAAAGCTTCAATTGACTTCGGATTTTCAGGTATCTTCGATGACACCTTTTCTGGAATCTCATCAGACATTTTTTGCTCAAATTGCTGGTTTTTTTATAGTTGAAGATAGAATTTTGAGGACTGGAGGACGATTGATTTCCAAAATGGAAGTAGAAAACTTGTGGGACACAGCTATGAGTAAAATGTGTTCTGTATTAGAAGATCAATTTTCTAGGATGCAAACAGCAAATCATTTGTTGTTGATAAAGGACTATGTGAGTTTGCTTGGTGTAACTTTGCGGCAATATGGGTACCCTGTTGATGCTTTGCTTGATGTATTAAGCAAGCACAGAGATAAGTACCATGAGTTATTGCTATCTGACTGTCGTAAACAGATTGCGGAAGCACTTACTGCTGATAAATTTGAGCAGATGTTGATGAAGAAAGAATATGAGTATTCGATGAATGTGCTTTCATTTCAGTTACAAACTTCTGATATAACACCTGCATTTCCGTATGTTGCACCATTTTCTTCCACAGTTCCAGATTGTTGTCGAATAGTGAGGTCGTTTATTGAGGACTCAGTGAGTTTTATGTCTTACGGTGGGCAGCTTGATTTCTATGATGTTGTGAAGAAGTATTTGGACCGGCTTCTGACTGAGGTGCTGGATGGGGCATTGTTGAAGCTTATTAATACATCCATCCATGGGGTCTCTCAAGCCATGCAAGTGGCAGCAAATATGGTTGTATTGGAGCGTGCTTGTGATTTCTTTTTTCGTCATGCAGCACAGCTCTCGGGCGTTCCTTTGAGAATGGTGGAGAGGAGTAGGAGGCAGTTTCCACTGAACAAAGCCCGTGATGTTGCTGAAGAGATGCTTTCTGGGTTGCTTAAACAAAAGGTTGATGGCTTCATGACGTTGATTGAGAATGTAAACTGGATGGCAGATGAGGCTCCTCAAAGTGGGAATGAATATGTGAATGAGGTGATTATATATTTGGAAACTTTGGTTTCTACTGCGCAGCAGATATTGCCAGTTCAGGTTCTTAAAAGAGTTATACAAGAAGTTCTTTCCCACATAGCAGAGATGATTGTTGGTGCTTTACTTGGGGAATCCGTTAAGAGGTTTAACATAAATGCCATTATGGGTATTGATGTAGACGTTCGGTTGTTGGAATCATTCGCAGAAAATCAGGCTCCTCTTTTATCAGATGCTGATGCAAATCAGTTGAAAACTGCACTTGTTGAGGCAAGGCAATTGAGTAATTTGCTTTTGAGCAGCCATCCAGAGAATTTCCTCAATCCAGTGATCAGGGAAAGAAGTTATAATTCTTTGGACTACAGGAAAGTAGTGATTATTTCAGAAAAATTAAAGGATCAGCCAGATAGGCTATTTGGAACCTTTGGATCTAGGGCATACAAGCAGAACCCAAAAAAGAAGTCTCTAGATGCAATGATAAAAAGACTCAAGGATGTGAACTGATTTGATACATTACTGTGCGTACGTCCTAGTACTTTTAACTATTCTTTCTGATGATTGTGATTGTCGTTACTTCATAGTTGTTCATTGCTCAATAATTTGCTAGCCCTAATACCCGTTGTGAATTGTCGTCATCTTATTGTGTCCTGAGATATGCAAATTTCATTCTGCATGTATTGCCCTGACTATGCTATTGGTTGTTGTATTTAATTCTTTTGATCAATATTAGTGGATATTTTGTTGCCTCTAACTTCCTACATTCTTGGGAAGATGTTACAGGCCTAGTGCAATGGTATGATTGCTATTCTTACGCCCAAATGCAGGCCCAGGCCTTACTTTTTTTTAGGCCCTAGGCCAAATTCCAAGATGGGGCCCACTATACATGATCATATATTAAAAAAAAAAAAAAAAAAAAACTTTTTAAAATCTTGGCTGCAACAAGTTAGCTTTTTTGTATATGATGGGTGTTATTATGAGTTACACTGGGCTATTATAGTGGATAGCTAACTAATATGGAGATTGCACTTTACACCGAGGGTACTCATGACTTGTCTACTAGCATGCACAAGTATAGTGAACTTTACTTTTGTATTAACTGAATTGTGGTTTTGACCCAATAGGTTCCTTCATGCTTGTCCACTGTGTCTTTAATGACTCATAATGTCTAAATATCACACTGTAGTGGCACATTAGTTGATGGTTAGGTGGAGTAATGTGGTCATTTGTTGTTGAGTATATATATGAATATGTTAATGTTTGTGGGTATCATTTCTGGAAACCCTCACGAGACTTTACTCGTCCACTTGGGGTAACCTTGTGGTTTAAAGGCTTGTTGCATATGCTAAATGCAACCGTTTTCCCACGAAAGAGGAAATAGATAGATTTTGTTTAATTTTATTTTATTTTACTTGCTTGAGGACTAGCAAGTAGTAAGTTGGGGGATGTGATTAAGGCCGAAATGTACATCATTGAGGCCGTTAATTAGAATCTCTTAACTTCACTTGCTGGTCAAACTGTATATTTTATGTGTGTTGAGTGTCAATCAGGTTATACATCGTCGGAGCATAAAATGAGCAAAAAGACAGAATTTGGCAGAGTTGACTTTTCCCGCACGTGCGTTGACTTTCCCGCACGTGCGTTGACTTTCCCGCACGTGCGTTGACTTTCCCGCACGTGCGTTGACTTTCCCGCACGTGCGTTGACTTTCCCGCACGTGCGTTGACTTTCCCGCACGTGCGTTGACTTTCCCGCACGTGCGTTGACTTTCCCGCACGTGCGTTGACTTTCCCGCACGTGCGTTGACTTTCCCGCACGTGCGTTGACTTTCCCGCACGTGCGTTGACTTTCCCGCACGTGCGTTGACTTTCCCGCACGTGCGTTGACTTTCCCGCACGTGCGTTGACTTTCCCGCACGTGCGTTGACTTTCCCGCACGTGCGTTGACTTTCCCGCACGTGCGTTGACTTTCCCGCACGTGCGTTGACTTTCCCGCACGTGCGTTGACTTTCCCGCACGTGCGTTGACTTTCCCGCACGTGCGTTGACTTTCCCGCACGTGCGTTGACTTTCCCGCACGTGCGTTGACTTTCCCGCACGTGCGTTGACTTTCCCGCACGTGCGTTGACTTTCCCGCACGTGCGTTGACTTTCCCGCACGTGCGTTGACTTTCCCGCACGTGCGTTGACTTTCCCGCACGTGCGTTGACTTTCCCGCACGTGCGTTGACTTTCCCGCACGTGCGTTGACTTTCCCGCACGTGCGTTGACTTTCCCGCACGTGCGTTGACTTTCCCGCACGTGCGTTGACTTTCCCGCACGTGCGTTGACTTTCCCGCACGTGCGTTGACTTTCCCGCACGTGCGTTGACTTTCCCGCACGTGCGTTGACTTTCCCGCACGTGCGTTGACTTTCCCGCACGTGCGTTGACTTTCCCGCACGTGCGTTGACTTTCCCGCACGTGCGTTGACTTTCCCGCACGTGCGTTGACTTTCCCGCACGTGCGTTGACTTTCCCGCACGTGCGTTGACTTTCCCGCACGTGCGTTGACTTTCCCGCACGTGCGTTGACTTTCCCGCACGTGCGTTGACTTTCCCGCACGTGCGTTGACTTTCCCGCACGTGCGTTGACTTTCCCGCACGTGCGTTGACTTTCCCGCACGTGCGTTGACTTTCCCGCACGTGCGTTGACTTTCCCGCACGTGCGTTGACTTTCCCGCACGTGCGTTGACTTTCCCGCACGTGCGTTGACTTTCCCGCACGTGCGTTGACTTTCCCGCACGTGCGTTGACTTTCCCGCACGTGCGTTGACTTTCCCGCACGTGCGTTGACTTTCCCGCACGTGCGTTGACTTTCCCGCACGTGCGTTGACTTTCCCGCACGTGCGTTGACTTTTTCTGGAAAAGTCAAACCGACATTTTAAACCTCGATTGGTATGAGCCCCAGGACCCCGTACCTGACCACCTAGCTCATCCTGTTCCCCCCGTGCCTCCCCAAGGGGACCCACTCTAATTGGGACAAGATCCATCAAAATGGATTACTTGCTCCAGGCCATCATTCTGTTAAATGATCCTAAGAGAGCCAAGCAATCAACATATTAATAGGACAATTCAACAATAGATAACTGCAAGACTCACATAAAACTGGCTAATATCAATCAACCCACAGACAACACTCAACTCACACCAAGCAGTCAACTACTGAAAGAGAAAAAACTATACAACAATATACGCCTCAATCACTCAACCCTCAAATAAACAATTCCCCTAAAATAGACCAGCTGAAAACCTGCAAATAAACAGCAGAAAGTCAAGTCTAGGTTCTCACCAAACTCAACCCATAGAATCACAATAAACCCTCCTCGCTCACAGTCCTAGTATGGGAACAGTTAGCATCTGTCAAATTACATTTTCTATGTTTCATCAACTAGGCATATTCCATACAAGAATTGAGCCCAAATGGCAAGGATCTATTACTGCATCAATACCATAACTTGTCCAAACCAGATTACTTACTGAGATCAATTTTTTTACTACTCAATCCAATTTGCTTATCATCATCCCTTTCCAGTTCAGTCTTCTAATCATCATAACCAAAATTTCTAACCCACTAAGTCAAACTCATCATCTATTAAGGCTATTTTGGGAAGTAGCGAAAAGTGCCACAAAAAAAAAAAAAAAAAAGAACAAGAAAAAAAAGAACAGTTAATTACATAGATCTTCCTTTTGGTTTCTGAAATTAATCTGATCTCCCGTATTTTAGTTGATAATATAAGAAGACCTCCCCCATGGTATCTTAACGTTTAACAAGTAATAGAAATTCATGATGTCAGCCTTTTTGAAGTGTTTTCACATCAAAACTACCATTGACGTAACCAAACAACCCGTACCAATTTTTATTGGAGAATTCTACCCTGCATCCCTTTTATTATATGCACATTTAATTATGTCATTTTTTAATTATAATTATTATTTTTAATTATGATATTATTTAAAAATATTTAATTATGTCTCATGTAATAGTTGGTTATAATTTTTTTTTTAATTTTAATTATAACTCAGAAAATATGAAATTATATCATTTTATTTTTTTGTTATAAGGTGCATGTAGTATACTTTTTTTTTTGTTTCGTGGTTCATATACTGCACATCTTTTAGTCTTTCCCATTTTTATTAGAACAAATTACACTAACAGTGCTTATGGTTTAGAGCTCGTATCACTTTGGTCTTTGATTTTTTAATTATGACATATTTGATCATGAATTTTAAATATTGTTCTGAATAAGTATAATTAAAGATATCATTGCTCAATTTCAAGGACAAAGTAGTCAATTTGATATATGTAAACTAATTTGATAAAAATAAATGTCAAAAAAATATTTTTAAATTTTTAAAAATTATTTCTACCCACTAAATATAAAATTATGTAAAATTGATAAATGTTTTACGCATTTATTTATTTTACCAAATTAATTTTTATTATGTGTTTGGATGATGATTATGTAGTGGAGGGTTGTTTTTATTTTTATTAAATTAGTTTTATTTTTTTCAAAACTCAAATATGGTGACAATTTTGATATTATTATTAAATCAAAAAATTCAAAACTAAAAACATTTCACATATTAAATATATTGATTACACATTAAAAACTTAACAATCACACATTACATGATCACTATCCATACACGTAATAAAAATTAATTTGGTAGAATAAATAAATAAATGCATAAAAAATTTGTCAATTTTACATAATTTTATATTTGGTGGGTAGAAATAATTTTTAAAAATTAAAAAATATTTTTTTGATATTTATATTTATCAAATTAATTTATATTTTATCAAATTGATTAACATAAATGCCATTATGGGTATTGATGTAGACGTTCGGTTGTTGGAATCATTCGCAGAAAATCAGGCTCCTCTTTTATCAGATGCTGATGCAAATCAGTTGAAAACTGCACTTGTTGAGGCAAGGCAATTGAGTAATTTGCTTTTGAGCAGCCATCCAGAGAATTTCCTCAATCCAGTGATCAGGGAAAGAAGTTATAATTCTTTGGACTACAGGAAAGTAGTGATTATTTCAGAAAAATTAAAGGATCAGCCAGATAGGCTATTTGGAACCTTTGGATCTAGGGCATACAAGCAGAACCCAAAAAAGAAGTCTCTAGATGCAATGATAAAAAGACTCAAGGATGTGAACTGATTTGATACATTACTGTGCGTACGTCCTAGTACTTTTAACTATTCTTTCTGCTGATTGTGATTGTCATTACTTCATAGTTGTTCATTGCTCAATAATTTGCTAGCCCTAATACCCGTTGTGAATTGTCGTCATCTTATTGTGTCCTGAGATATGCAAATTTCATTCTGCATGTATTGCCCTGACTATGCTATTGGTTGTTGTATTTAATTCTTTTGATCAATATTAGTGGATATTTTGTTGCCTCTAACTTCCTACATTCTTGGGAAGATGTTACAGGCCTAGTGCAATGGTATGATTGCTATTCTTACGCCCAAATGCAGGCCCAGGCCTTACTTTTTTTTAGGCCCTAGGCCAAATTCCAAGATGGGGCCCACTATACATGATCATATATTAAAAAAAAAAAAAAAAAACAGTTGTGGGTAAAATGGTAAGCACTCACAATTTTTATCTTAGTTTCCCCACAAAGTTTGCTTGTATATATAGTTACCGAAATTATACACACTTCGAATTTTAAAATAAATCAAAACACCACTGTTGAGAAGATATTTAAAATTTTAATGTCAGGTTGGAAAATTCATGAAGTTTGAAGGCATACCTCTGGGTGCAAATGTTGTTTTCTTGACTTTATTATCCATGAGTAGAGATTGATAAAGGATAACGCTCACAATTTTGAGTTGGGTGGCTAAAATGGAATGTCTTTTGTCGAGTTGTGTGCTATCTTTTCCTTAAGTAAGGAGATAATTCATTGATACAACAAGATGAACGAGATGAGAAGGAGATGCTTTGAGCAAGTGTTTGAGTGATCCAGGCAAGTATTCCCACCCTGCAAGGGTTCTACCTTCTATCTTGGTCTTGCCAAGGAGAACTAAGGCACTTATTGTCCATTGGGCAAGAGCAACATACTGACTCAGTATGTTGATCGCACTGGGTGACCTTTTTTACTTGCCTACTGCATGGTCCATGTATGAAAATCCTTGCCCTCTAAAGGCTATCTATTGATTATCAGCCTGTGGATCCCCGTGTGCAGTATACCTGCTTTGTCAGGCCTGTCTAAGCCCCTGATGTCCAGCTTTCCAGCAGGTAGGGGCTCCTGTAGTCACGGCCAGGAAGGGTTGCTACGCATTAGTATTGATTATCAGCCTGTGACTTAGGTGGTTTGAGTCAATACAAGCCTTCGATTTCTAATATAGTACATCCCGTGGAGGCCTAGCTTTACATTGTTCAGCCTCAACTATGAAGCATGGACACGCCAAAATGCAAGCCATGGCGGTGTCAGATACGGGGACACGTATGGGACATGGCATCTGGCGTGTCCTCTTAATTTAATTTATTTTTTTTGCAAGAGACACGGCGGAGACACAACGGGGACATACGTGTCCAAATCTGGACATGCCATGGGACATGGCGAGAAGAGTAAACAAGTACAAACCTGGTCGGCGACGATCCAGAGCCCTTCGACTTTGACTTTGACTTCGATGATCCAGAGCCCCATTCGACTTCGACGATCTAGAGCCCCCTTCGACTTCGACGATCCAGAGCCCTTCGACTTCGACGAGCTCTCGCCTTCGCCTTCGCCTTCTCAGAGCTTCTCTCTCTCTCTCGCCTTCTCTCTCTCCCTCGTGATCGCTCTCACTTCTATCTCCCTCTCTCTCGTTTCTGTCTTCCTCTCTCTCGCTTCTCTCCCGTCTTTATCTTCTTGTCTTGATGCATATATAATATATATAACTATTATATAATAATAATAATAATAATAGTTATTATATAACATAAATATACTTATAAGATAATATATACTTATACATATTAATAAATAAAAAAATAAACACATGTATATAAAAAATAAATAAATAATTTAATTGGAACGCATTATTTAAAAAATATAATAAATAAATAAAATAATTAATGTGTATTAAAATAAAAATATTTATAAAAAAAATTTAAAAATTTGCCGTGTCCCTGCCGTGTTCGTATCTCCATTTTTTAGAAATTGTTGTATCCCATGTCCGTGCTTCATAGGGCCTCAAGATAGATCCTCCTATCACTTTGTTGTCTCATTACATTGTAGCGAGCACCTGCTTTAGGCAAAAGAGTCCTCATCAACAACTGCTTCGAAGTAACTGGAAGTATTGCTGCTAACTGGTATCATCACCTGCCCTGTGTCCTATTGCTTTCTTCCTTTTCTTACTAAAGTATGATGGGCTATTCCTAAAGGATGCTGTAAAGGATTTTGGGCAGCTGTTTCTATTAGAAGTCTGTAGCCCTTTCAATTAAGCATATAGTACTTAATTGCTTCTTTCATTGTCAACGTGACAATTAATTCAAAAACCAAAATTGGATGCCCCTGATTTAGTAACCAGGGACGCAAAATAATAGGAACGTTAGCTAAGTTTAATTAGTAATCAGCAGATTTTACTTAGCTTTATGTTTGTAAATGTTAATATTTTCTCCATCTGAAATGATTTCATCACACTCGGCTCGTTCTGTTGGCAACCTTGACTTGGGGTAAGTTGTGAGATCTTTGGATATTTATAGCTTTTTTTTTTTTTACTACTACTTTTTGTTGCTAATGATAACGAAGAATGTCATTAGCGGGAGAGAGCTATGAATCCGTTCCTAAATGCCCAGTGGTGTCGTAATGTAATTACAGTTTGACTTGTTTAAACTTGCTATCTGTGTGACATTGCACTTCCTACTTTGACTTCATTGTTGCATGTGATTGTTTGAAAAGTTAGGAGATTATTTTAGAATCATATACCTAGAGGTTCCTACTATTATTTTGATTAATGATCAGAAGTTAAGAGTTTCAGGTCATATACTTTGTTGTGGCCACCAAAATTACTCCACTGGTTTATTAGGTGACATGTCTTATCAGTTCCCAGCTTCATGGGCTCTTATAATGGGAATGTTTGTCATTTTCCTTTGCTTTTTGTTACTAGATTTCATTGGACTTTCCCACTTTCACTTGGCTACCTTTGCAGTGACAGTTCACGGCTCTCTTTTTCAAAGGTAGGACCAAGTGAGAGATGGATACTTAAGTTCGAGATTTTCTCATGATGGTAGAGTAGTTAGATGATCCAAGTCAGTTCTACTATTTCATAGTTAATATTGTATTTCTACAAGCCACACCTTCCTTCGATTTTTCGAGGTCACTGAACATTGAAGAGTACTTGCTTGCTTGCTTGGTTTGTTGAGATTGCTAGTAAATGCTATTTACTAACTGCTCAAATATTTGCATTGAGCTCTTCTTATTCTTCCTCTCTTTCCTTCTGTTTTTTTTTTTTTTTTTTTTTTTTTTTTTTTTTTTTTTTTTAATGATTTTTTCTTAAACTGGAATGTTAGGCTTCTGTTTGGAGTTTTTCACTTCCATTTTGGAAGTTTTTTGTTTTTTGTAATAGTGATTTATTGTATTTTAACTTCATTGTAATTGATTTTTATTGGCTTTATTGTAGTATGATAATACTTTGGACTGGGAATTTTAATACTATGTCTTATACTGAGAAATTGTTAGCGAAAAGTGCCACAAAAAAAAAAAAAGAACAAGAAAAAAAAGAACAGTTAATTACATAGATCTTCCTTTTGGTTTCTGAAATTAATCTGATCTCCCGTATTTTAGTTGATAATATAAGAAGACCTCCCCCATGGTATCTTAACGTTTAACAAGTAATAGAAATTCATGATGTCAGCCTTTTTGAAGTGTTTTCACATCAAAACTACCATTGACGTAACCAAACAACCCTTACCAATTTTTATTGGAGAATTCTACCCTGCATCCCTTTTATTATATGCACGTTTAATTATGTCATTTTTTTATTATAATTATTATTTTTAATTATGATATTATTTAAAAATATTTAATTATGTCTTATGTAGTAGTTGGTTATAATTTTTTTTTAATTTTAATTATAACTCAGAAAATATAAAATTATGTCATTTTATTTTTTTGTTATAAGGTGCATGTAGTATACTTTTTTTTTTGTTTCGTGGTTCATATACTGCACATCTTTTAGTCTTTCCCATTTTTATTAGAACAAATTACACTAACAGTGCTTATGGTTTAGAGCTCGTATCACTTTGGTCTTTGATTTTTTAATTATGACATATTTGATCATGAATTTTAAATATTGTTCTAAATAAGTATAATTAAAGATATCATTGCTCAATTTCAAGGACAAAGTAGTCAATTTGATAAATGTAAACTAATTTGACAAAAATAAATGTCAAAAAAATATTTTTAAATTTTTAAAAATTATTTCTACCCACTAAATATAAAATTATGTAAAATTAATAAATGTTTTACGCATTTATTTATTTTACCAAATTAATTTTTATTATGTGTTTGGATGATGATCATGTAGTGGAGGGTTGTTTTTATTTTTATTAAATTAGTTTTATTTTTTTCAAAACTCAAATATGGCGACAATTTTGATATTATTATTAAATCAAAAAATTCAAAACTAAAAACATTTCACATATTAAATATATTGATTACACATTAAAAACTTAACAATCACACATTACATGATCACTATCTATACACGTAATAAAAATTAATTTGGTAAAATAAATAAATAAATGCATAAAAATTTGTCAATTTTACATAATTTTATATTTGGTGGGTAGAAATAATTTTTAAAAATTTAAAAATATTTTTTTGATATTTATATTTATCAAATTGATAATTTTACTATTTAAATTGAGTAATGATATCTTTAATTATTCTTATTTAAAATAATATTTAAAATTAATAACTAAATGTGTAACAATTAAAAAGATTAAATTGATACAAATTCGAAATTATATTGAAATTTTCCTTTTTTTACTAAACGGAACACCATTGTACATCCTTGTTTTCATAACCAAACATACCTTTTTCTCAACAACGCTTTTTTTTTCACGATCCATTCTCCGTATCCAAGGGTTAAGTACTGTGATAGCCAGTAATTGAAATTATCTCCGGCTAATTCTTGAACAAATTAATAAACGCGAGCTGAAATAATATTTAAGTGACGGTATCAAAATAATCATCGAAACTTCTATTGTTATTACAAAATTTATTGACCAAAAAGGTCGATATTTACATATAAAAAATATCATAAAAGTATTGTGTGTGTCTATTCTACAGCCCGCATCTAAGACTTTTCAAAAATTATTTCTGAATTGCATTTGTTTCCTGAAAATTGGTAAACAAGTATAAGTACATGGTATGGTGAAAAATATTATACCAAGAGTATAAAGGATACAAAATAACCATGGATAGTTATGTAACTAAAATATTTAAGAT